GTGCGAAGAACGCCCATTCACACCTCTTTTGATGGTGTGACTGACTGAGGCTGTCGACTGACTTTGAACGCTACGCTAGCAAAATTTATTCACTCTAACTCGTCTAGCCCTCGAACGAAAATGAACCCGTTCGTTGGGCTATCGAGTTATAACTGTCCCAGATATCGAACCAATGTTTATTCTGGTGACGGACAGACAATACTGGACTTCCAGGGGGCGATTTTAGGGCAACACTGTTTACCTTGATATTCTGAAGCAAATGTTTTTTTAGTAAGTGGCTAAAAACACGTTTTAGAATAGCCACAGTAACCCCTAAATAAAGCGGATCAAAAACCTCTGTGACGATGATGACGATGAGAATATCTGAGGCACACATGACCAGTCTTTGCAAGGAGGAAGCAAGTTAGGTCAGATGGCTGGCTGATACATCCGAGACTAACTTCAACTTATATCACCCTGCACACAGCAGCGCTTTGTGAGCATCATCCAAGCGAGAATTCACTTCAGCTTCGGACCGAGGTAGTAAAGAACCACACACTGCATGGCCAGCTGTGGGCACCTTGGCTTCAAATGCAAGTGGCATTCAGATAAATATCAAAAAGGGAATGATTCGCGTTTGTGAATGCAAAACAGAGAAGGATAGTCATCTCTAGTAGAAGCTACGTGTTCAAGACCGACCGAAACATGTAAACTAATTGAAACGAGAGTTCTTCCGGTCCTCTAACAACCACAATTAAAAAATCAGTTCGTTTTGTGCGGCGGTCGAAATCGATTCTTTCATGGAAGCAATCAACAAATCAATCCCTGGGAAAGCCACTCTCGCACAAAAACCAGGGTCTTGACATTCAAACCAGTACGTTCCCATGCACTTACCCGATTCGAGATGGTGTAATGCTGGTCGTTAAGGTCACGTGTCTTTGTGGTCAGCTGATATTCCAATTTGGCCCACGTGTCACGAAATTCATTGCGCAGCAGTACCAATTCACGTTGCATTGCCTGTCGAGATTCCTCGGCTGTGGCGTCCAACTTTTCTATCCGCGTTGTGGCATCTGACAATTTTTGTTTGTGCAGTTCCTCACGAGTTTGTGCATCACGCTAAAAGTTAAGTAAGCAGAACGCCTTAAATTTTTAATAGAAGGAAAGTAAGAAAGACAAGCCACTCTTCTCAGCAATCACGGAACGGAGTGCGTGACGACAGAGGCTTGTCAAAGCATCATTCCGATGGAACGAACTGAGGAAACGGACTACCTCATCCAGTTGCGGTCCCCGTTTCGATCGCTATGACCAGTTGCACATGTTGTTTCCCACTGACTGTATCATCAGAGACAGCAACATCATCGTTGAAACTGATGTTTCACTGCTACTCAACCACAAAGGTTCATTAATTAACTAATTAACGTGGGTAGGAAAGAGCGAATGAGGGGGGGCTTGGTGCTGACCTGTCGCAAGCATCCCGTCAGGCTAACACTTCCTAGCGGTCAACCTGGAAAGAAAGTAACAACATGAACGTCACTGACATCGATTACTTGCCATCTCTTGCAATGTCTCCAGCCGAGGGTGGGAGGGTCACGAGGACACTACCCTGCAAAACATAGCTACCAGAGTTACCAAGGCAAGAAAAACGCAACACTCGTGTGTACTGACGGCATCTGCCCGATTGGTGAGACAGCGCTTGCGAGCCAGCTACGAAGCTAGGCGAACAGGTTCAAGTAGAACATAAGGTTGACAGAAACTCGGGGACAGCGCCTACCTGATGAGCCCCAAGAAGGGCGAAACCGGTCGTGGGCTGTCGACGGATTTTCAGCAACCTTATGAGTAGTTTCGTTTAAGAAGCGAAATAGTTTCATGTTACACCTTGTACTTGACAAAAGCTCTAGGGTTTGGCCAGTCCCAACAAACGAAAATTGCGGTTTCATTACGCGACAGTGGAGATTCGTGTTCGCTCGTCTGGATGGCTCATTGATAAACTTGCAACATGTGTTTCTATTATAAGGTACTGTGATTTCCGTTTGAGGAAATCCATTTACACAAAAACCACGATCTTTTGTTATCCTCACGATGAAACTGGAACGTTTCTAGACTGATCATTCATTTCGATGCGAATGGGTCATTTATCGGCTTGATTGATCAACTTTCATGCCCACATGACTCTCGTTTGAACAGTCGTTTCAGTGTCCTGGCTCAATCCATCTACACCAAAGGGGGAAGCGCTGAACTCGAGTTTCGCTCTCATAAGAGCTCATCAGCCCCTTGGCTGGGGTCTGAATTCCGCACGCTGGACGCATCTGGATTTCTACGTCTGAAAGGGGTGAATATGTCCACCCTAGAGGGAAGCGATTGGTTCGTCTGAGGCTTCGAACGAAGAAGCATCCTGGTTGTATCGATCGATTGACCACCAGTCAGGTAGCGCCAGGGACACTGAAACAGGCTGGACAATTCACACTGCGGATGAGCTCTGAGAGGAACGAAACGCGAGTCCAGTGGTTCCGCCAGAATAATGCACCAGAACACGAGGATGACTGTTCGGACGAGTGAGGTGAGCGTGAATTCTAAAAATCCTGCAGCCACCTAAAACTAATCAAAAGTGGCGAGTAGGTTTCAAATCGTCTATGACACTAACCACGAACATCTACAAATTTCTTTTAGCATTCGTTTTATCAGTAATGACATCTTTATTTCGTTTGCTTAGTACGGTTGTTCAACATGTTTTTTAAAACTTACGTTCATATGCACGCTCTTCTGAGGCGATGGAAAGTGACGTCCTTCCAGATGTAACGTAAGCTTCTACAACTTTGACGAATTCATGGATAAGGTCTACTCAGCACGGAAATCAGAGGTGGACCTCATCTTTGTGATCTGCACGTCTGAACTAGAGGCGTTTGGCTGTAGCACCCTTTTGGTGCCTAACTGCCATGCCACGAGAGCTGGGATACCGTCAGGTTACCAAAGCCTAGACAGGGGAAGTCGAGAGGGGTTCGAACGACGGAACTTCCGGTCAGTAAATTCGCGCTCAAACCACTGAGCCATCTCACCCCAACGTCTGAACTATGTACCATGCAATTTACAGCCAGTACTAAGGTGCTAAATCTAACGAAAACGGACTAATCCGTGGACACTGGGAGGAAAAGTTCGTTGGTTCCTGATTTTAGGATGAGACTCCGATACAAACGATGAGATAAAGGCAACGAAATAATGACAAAACACATGCTGAATCAAGCACGGACGTGAAAGTCACCGGAATCTGCATTCAAAGTCAGAAAACACCAACACTACTTATTTAGGCAGTTCACAACGAGGTCGCTCGGTCGGATGCAAGGTTCCAATAAGGTGGGGCTGGTGCACCAAATGGAATGACGTCCAAGAAGAGTGATAACACATCTGGTAAACAGTAAACAGTCAGCCACAGGATGCCGCGGTTCAATCGGCTGAAAGGTGGTTTCATCTTAGACGAATTTGACAACACCAATCCGGTGTAAGTCTACACACACACACACACACACACACAACTGTGTAACTAACTTGCACGTATGGTTCATAGTAAGCAGCACCAGTGGAAAACCAAATATTTCACCAAGAACGCACAATGGACAAGTTTGTTCGCATTCCGAAACCAGTGAGAACCAAACCGTGGCGCGTTATCACAGGCTTTCAGGCAAATCATGCTCACAACAAGCCGCGTGTCTAACAGGGCGATGGTTGATGTTTGATAAAAACAATCATTCAGCCTAGCTGCCATACCACCCGAAGGAAGCACGAGAGCTGGGATACTGCCAGGTTGCCCAAGTCTAGACAGAAAGAGGTCGAGTTCGAACCGCAGACCTTCGCGCTCTAACCACTTCAACTATCTCGCCTCACCCCTGGAATCGGGTCGTGTCGCCTATCATCTTTGACCTCTTAAATATCCGATTCCCAGGTTCTGTATTCGGAGAGACGACAGATGGCGCCTCAGCAAATGAAATGCGGGATCCATCCAAGGTCACTTATGGGAACTAATTGATGGACTGTCTTCCAGAAACCATCGAAGGGACCCCAATATTCCCACCAAACATTTGAAACATTTCGGAGAGGCCGATGACCAAAGTTGGAAAGCCATCGTCACATGTGACTACTTTCATTTTGCTTCAGGGCGATACAGTCGGTCCCACAGACGAGCTGACCCCATCAACGTACTAAAAATTGCAGCTGTCTCATTCAAAGGAATCAATTGAATGCTACCAGGCTAGCTTGGGAAATATATGCAGATTATTTTACTACCACACGTGACTACGGTCCCCGGAAAAGTCAAAAAGGAGAAAGGCAACGATCGATGAGATTGTCGACAGGTTCTTCCAACTGCCCGGTCACCGCTAGCTTGGAAAATAAATGCAGATTATTTTACTACGACACGTGACTACGATTCCCGGAAAAGTCAAAAACGAGAAAGGCAACGACCGATGAGATTGTCCACAGGTTCTTCGAACTGCCCGGTCATCGCAGAATATTTTGGATGTGGAAGTTCAAGTGTTTATCTGCAATGAAATCCTGCAGGTTTTGCGATTGGTGTTTCGATAACTGACCACTGTCGTACTGAAGCTGTTGCTTGCAGCCACCGACCAAGACTGGCTGTAAACAGCGATCGCTGACGACTCAAGAGGACAGGAAAGCTTCGTCAAGTTGCGTAAGCGTTCAGCTGTAACACCCTTCCGGTGCCTAGCTGCCATGCTACCCGAAGGAAGCACGAGGGCTGGGATACTGCCAGGTTGCCCAAGCCTAGACAGGGGAAGTCGAGAGACAGAGGTCCGGTTCGAACCACGGACCTTCCGATCAGTAAACTCGCGCTGAGGCATCTCGCTCGAAGATAGACTGCATCTTAGCAGCAAGTGTAGAACCAGAAAAAAGGGATGAACCATTCTGGTAGTTTTTTCAGGAGGCCAACTGAACCGGCGATCCGTGCGGGAATATGAATCCCGGACATGGGAGCAGGTTAGACACATCGGAATCTGAACAGACAGTTGTATTCACTACATTCTGAGCAATCTGATCGGTTTCCCCAATCAATGTTTTAGTTGGGTCAATCGATTGTCAAGAATTCTCAGGCAGGTGGCATCATGGGTACTCGACAATTTTGTTCAATCAACAGAAACTGTGTTCACACGACTCTCGTTGGAATAGCCCTCCTTGTATGCTGAGTTCTGTTGAGCCTCAGTGAGGAGGGGAAACACTACACCCGACCACCGCTCTTAAAAGAGCTCAGTGACAGTGTAACTATTTGAACGCTGAGACGAGCCTGAGACGCAGTACAAATTTAGTGAATTTCTATGCACACATTCGCATGCTTTTATTGCATACCCGTTTAAAATTTGCCAGCAATGGTAGATGAAGAAACACCTCATCAGCTGGATGGTTCTGGTGTACCACAGATGAACAGAAAAGCAAGTGTGCACATTGACCTATGTGACAAAGGTATGTACAACACCTTTGCAGCGCTGCACATTTCTGGAATCGTTTGTGCGTTTTTTCTCCATCATTAGAAGTATCAACAACCTCATTTCTTAAAAAAACGGAGTGCCCTTATTACCGGTACTAATATCAGAAGAGAGGCGGTTCTGTCGGGTCGGTCAAACTAACGTAGTGGTAGTGATGAACACCATACAGAGGCGCGCACAATGTCCATGAATGGTTTTGAAAAAAGTCCATCGGGTGCATGCTTGAGAGAAACGTGTGCCCAACTAAACTGAAAAATTCATGAACGCGCTCGTTCAAAGTTCAACCACCATTCGCTCGCCGGCTCTCGATTTGGATGGGCGCCAAACTTTGCATTCGATTAAAGCACGGAGTGGAATGAATGTCAAGGAAACAGTACAAATGACGCCTCAACTGTATAGATCATCCAGGAACGATCGCTAGTGAAAAAAGAGAAACGAGATGCCCAAATCAAGGTAGCTATGCACAGGGCCCAGTGCGTCCTCGTCCAGACGCTAGTAAGCTCGATTACATGGAAGGAGATCACGAAATGCTTAGGTACTGTCGGTGCTACTCGTCTTCCAGGATGAGGACTGTGTGATCCTCACTGTGCCTAGAGAGACTACAGGATATGGCTGCCAACCGATATCAGTGGTGTTCTTGTTGTCAGTTTCTATCCAGATTGCCTGAGTGAATGTCTGGAGGTGTAGGCACCTCGGAATGATTGTGGTAAGCTAGCACTAAGTCCCTCCCTCATTCCCCTTTACCCATTGTTACAATAAAGCTTTCAAATAAACCATGGTTGTACGGCAGTGAAGCATCGGTGTTGAACACTGATGTCATGCTGTCGATGATGATGATGATGATGATGGACGGCAAGGCAGATTTCGCGAACGTAGCGACATATGACCTGACATCCACCTCGATTGTTGCTCACCAATCCAGTTAAGTTGATCTCCAATCCGAATTTTGGAGAAGCATCATCCGGGTGTATGAACCCCGGTCAGGCAACCTTTGATTGAAATTGCAACTTTCCCATCATTGTCAAAGTTCCTAAAATTCAAGCTGGGCGAAATCACAGTACTAGAGGAAGGGCGACGGTCAAATGAAGCGCGAGATGGGTGTGTTCCAGGAACTATAACTTACAAGTCCATTTTTTCTAGTGGATCACGGACGCAGATGGTCCGTTTTGTAAAAAGTCGGTGAGTCGGTCAGGCAACCTTTGATTGAAATTGCAACTTTCCCATCATTGTCAAAGTTCCTAAAATTCAAGCTGGGCGAAATCACAGTACTAGAGGAAGGGCGACGGTCAAATGAAGCGCGAGATGGGTGTGTTCCAGGAACTGTAACTTACAAGTCCATTTTTTCTAGTGGATCACGGACGCAGATGGTCCGTTTTGTAAATAGTCGGTGAGTACTTTGAGAACCTGGTGAAAGGAAGAAGGTCTTAGTTGCGCAGTTGGTTATTAGAAAACGCCAACTGAACCGTTACAGACTGTTGGACAGGGAAGTAAAACTCTCATTTGCATCTTATTGACAAAAACTGGACATCCATCTTCTACTTGAACGCATTCTTTCTAAACTATCATGCATATTCATTAACTGTTACTCAAATGCAAGCAAATGCTACAAACCGACTCCACAAATTCCGTAATAGATCTCCCTTTTCAAGAGACAGAGCGGATTTACAAACATACATATTACTCGCATGCATCCTCATCAGTAGTATCATCGCTACACGGTCGTTCATGTGCACAACATCGGCTCAGCGGCCAATGCGCATTTGTTCATTGGTTTATGGCCTTTAAGAAAAATCATGAGGCAATCAAGATGGCTGACCAGTGCTACAAACACAATATCAAAGGTGATCTCGTGTTCTGGGCATGCGTTTTGCACCTTCTACGTTGGAAGTCTTACTTCAAGACTTTCCATTTCCTTCTACTGCTCAGAAGCTTCAGACTGACGGTGAGGTTCTCAAAGGACGCTGAGTCAATCCGGCTAGTTGTAACTTGATTCAACAAGATGTTTAGATGCAGTTCAACTGCCATGCCATCAGAAGGAAGCATGAGGGCTACGATACTGCCAGGTTGCCCAAGCCTGAACAGAGGAAGTCGAGAAGCAGAGATCGAGTTCGAACCACGTACTTTCCGGTCAGTAAATTCCCGCCATAAGCACTGGGCCATCTTGTCCAAAGGTGAAGACACTTTATTCTTGGTCATCTTTCTTAAGGACACTAAGTTTCTACCCTTGCCTCTTGTTTCCACCAATTAAGAGGGCCTTCTTCCCTCAAGGTTGTGTGGCCGTTAAGCGCCAGTGCCACGTACTTTCCGGTCAGTAAATTCCCGCCATAAGCACTGGGCCATCTTGTCCAAAGGTGAAGACACTTTATTCTTGGTCATCTTTCTTAAGGACACTAAGTTTCTACCCTTGCCTCTTGTTTCCACCAATTAAGAGGGCCTTCTTCCCTCAAGGTTGTGTGGCCGTTAAGCGCCAGTGCGTATTACCGGTGTATTGCTATCAATTAGGATGAAGCAGTGCAATAGATGATGAAAGACAAATCAAAACGGGAAGTCGGATGGGGGTTGAACCCAAACTGTCCTACCAACAGGATTGCTGGGAAGGAAACAAACTGGTCTTTATCAAGAAGATTGGCATACAAAGCGTGAATCAACAGTGGGGATGACTGCAAGATCATCCTCAAAGTCTGTGATACAGGAGTTAGCAACTGATCAGTGCGCGGGACAGGAGGAACTACCGTACCGAAGAATACCACCTGAAGAGTAGCCTATTCTCGCGAACAACAAGAGAAATTCGCCTGACCGTAGAGCGACAACACTATGACCAGACATTCTTGTGTGAATTCCAGGAACATCTGTTGAGGGTGGACGATAGGCAAAACGAACATAGTTTCCTTTACGCGAGGCGCGAAATGACACATTTTCGTCTGACACGTGGGATTCACCAAGCATACTGATCACCTAGGTGACTGCCTTCCAAAAAAGACATCTGTTGATTCCAACTGAGACCAGAGCCGGCCAAGAGGTGCATGATGTTCCATACCCGTCAATCGTGATTGACTGGTAGCTAAATTCACACATGGTTAACAATAAAATAAACGCACAAATGAACTACCGTCACTTACACTAATGGAGCCCAACTCAGCCGTAAGTTTTACGGCCGTCTCATGCAGCTGCAAATGTTCTCGCCGTATGGAAGCCAACTCGTTGCGCAGACTTTGAAATCCCTCCGTCTGTTGTGCTGTCAAACTGGACAGTTGCATTGTCCACATTCGATAGAACGCAGTCAGCGCGAGTGCGACATTTCCAGTGGGGATCGGATTATGAGAATAAGGGGTAGAGAGAAGAGCGGAATTGAGCAGATTAGTGGAAGCACCCAGTGCTTCCGTATGTGCCGAAGCTCCTGGTGCTACTGCTCCGGTGGGCGCACTTTTTGGACCGTTTGAAGCAGACGGTCCAGGGATTGACGCGGAAGACCCGGACGATGCTCTGGTTGCAAACCCAGCCCCTTGGTTCTGGCAGCTAGGCATGGTAATACTGAGTAGTTCAAATATTTTGGTTAATGCAGTGTCTCCGTATTCTGCGGCCGTTGGTGGAACCAGCCCCGAGGTACTACCCGTGGAAGGTCCAACTGCTGGAGGGGAGAGTAATTCTTCTTTGAGCGGCGTGGATCCACTGTAGGCACTCATGCTACGATCGATGATGCTCGGCATATTAAGTGTGTTGATGAACGGGTTATTTGTGGCGACGGGTAGCGCGCTTGCCGAACAAACAGACCCCGAATGACTTATTCTCGATCGATTTGGCGTTTCCACAGATACCAGGCCATGGTTATCAACCTGTAATGAATAGTACAGAAAAAAGAATCCACATTACGACATGTCGGACTATTCATTACATGGCAATGACCTTGAGTAGATCGTTCGAAAAAAAGGTTCAGTCAGTAAAATTTCCTAAGGGGAATGTTTAGAAACCCGGTTGACAGTGGAAAGTGGAATATTGCTGCAAAGTAGATGTCCATCGTATGATTAGACGATGAGACGGCACTCTTTAATCCGAAAATCAACGAGACGAAAGTAATACCTTTTGACATGTTTCGTCATGAATCACCATTTGTCACCAGACTAATCTAAATATGCCCTATCGTCAGACCAAGACGTTCCGAACTGGAGAAAAGGAGGAGTGGCTTATCGGAAAACACCAAGTCAACAGTTAAAAACTATCGAAAGGGAAATCAAATCTCTCATATGCAAGTTGTGTTTCAAAAACTGAATATCCGTCCTCCTCTTGAACGCGTCTTCTTGAACTCTCCTGGATATGCATTGACTATCAATACCACTGAACGAATGCTGCAAAGCAGTTCCACAAATCCCGTAATAAACCCCACCTTCCAATAGACACGAACCGGAGTTACGAGAAAACAGACTACTCGCACGCCTCATCAGTAATATCCGCCGCTGCACTGGTAGCCACCTGATACCGAGAATTTATATCACACAAACCACCTCTCCCCCTTCCGAACTAGGCGTTACAAAATAATTTCCGGTCACTTTATGAATGATGCCAAAAATCTTGACGTGAAAAACGGATGGTGGCAAGCAAGAGGGTCCCTTAAAGGAAAAGTTTTTTTAGACGAGGTGAGCTTGCCGACACCGATTCATTTGAACCAGCATGCCTTGAAGTACCTGATACACCAGCCTCCACGTTGTCATCAACTCATCACTATCGACAACGTGACATCAGTGTTCAACACCGATGCTTCACTGCCGTACAACTGTCATCAGCTCAACCAAATTCGATCCCGGCTGCTGATGTACCTTAGACTAACTTGCCAACTGGGTGACGCTGTTAGTGATTCCTGATCCCCAACGATGTGCAGAGTGACCCCGTCTAAACTACTCAACGCTGCACCAGCTATCTTCGCCACCTGAGTTCGGATACACCTGGGAACAGCAATACCATTTAAACCTGAGATATCACAGACGGGGTCGGCTTTTACAGACACAACGTATGCCTATTTGTAGCCTCAGAAAAGTTCTGCAAACGACTAATACATTTGTGGCTAGATGTTTCTAATCCAGAGCACTCCCAAATGAGGACTTGTTCAAACTTTTGAACTGAAAACAGCCGATAAACGAATGAGATTCGACCATAGCCTCTATCACTTCGAAGCAGAAGCTGAATAATCGGCCAACGAAACAAAACTTCGTAGCAGACATGCTGTTCAAACAGAACCAGACAGTGACATTCGAAGGATCAAATCTCAGACACGATGATGCATCACCGACAGTCGGGTGTTTGTGTAGGCTGAATATTGTCGTTCGCTCTTGTGTAAACACCAGGTCTAAGACGTGATAAAAATGTATCACCGTAACAGTCCAGACAAAATGTGTGATCTTACTGGCTCCATTAAATCCGATTGGAATGTTAATCCACTGGCCATAAAGAACTCGCGAACATAGGTCACTACTTACTGGCAATCCAGGGCTGGAGACCTCCGCGTGTCAACAGAAAAGAGGAATCTAATGGTTTCTTTAATCTGAACAAAATTCAAGATGGAAACTGGATGGATGGCTATCGGCTTACACACCAACCTAGGTAACTTGGTTTGCAAATATTTCATCAGCAAGCGAGGTGGTACTCACGGCGGATGCAGCCCAACAGCTCGAACAGAAGGCTCTCAACTGGGTCCAACTATCCAATCAAGTCAAGATATAGGAGCCACAGGGAATATAACCGACTCACTAGAGCACTGTCCAATCAGAACCCAAATCAGTCAATAAACCAACCGTCTGCCTAAAAACCTGGTCAACTTGATGACCTGCTCACTTGGTCCGATGAAGCTTTTGTGTGTCAAAAGCGATTAAAAACTATCGATTGTTTACCGAGCCCTTCTGAAACGACAGGAACTATGGTTAGCAGAACCACCTGTCATAAAAGCTCGACGGGTTTTAAAAAATACCGACAAACACCAGCGCATAGCCGTTCACTTATTGAGGGAACTGTTGCAAGCCAAGCGGCCAGCTCAGCAGATCAATCAATAAATCACAATACTGAGGGTGAATAGGTATGACGACGCCGTTAGAACTCCAAGTATGGCTGAATCCTTCACCATCCGGAAAGCGGTATCATCTCAAAACATAGGACCATTACTTATGGCCACAGATAGTTCAGCGTTTGACCGGAACACTGCAAGTTTCACTCCCCGACATTTCAGTTCGCAGTAGCAACGGGCTAGAAACCAGGTGCAAAAGCTGTCACATTATGATTATATATATATANGTGTTACATAAATACATTCGAAAAGGTGAGGAATCTGACGCAACACACTACTTATTAGGTTGTTGAAAACTATTCGGTTGATTCGTCTGTTCATACCAAAGTGGCTTGCAGGTGAGTATATTTGGTCAATAACGGCATACAGTTTAGTGTTCATACGAAACATAAGAATGCGATGGAAAATTGGAGACTACTTGATGCGTCCCAAGAAGAATGAAGTCATAAAAGCTCGACGGGTTTTAAAAAATACCGACAAACACCAGCGCATAGCCGTTCACTTATTGAGGGAACTGTTGCAAGCCAAGCGGCCAGCTCAGCAGATCAATCAATAAATCACAATACTGAGGGTGAATAGGTAGGCTCAATTTCACACCAGAGTCAGAACCTACTACATGTCTTAACGGAACACCATAATCCAGTATGGCAAACCGAGAGAGAGAGAGAGAGAGGGCAACGCGCTTACCAGGTTCGTGTGCACCGACGGAGCGACTGAGTTCCGAGTTGGTGAGGATGGTTTCTTGGAGCGCCTGGAGAGACTGAAAAAAAACAAGTGAGACGAAATGTAGCAGCGTTACGCTGTACAATTATTTTAGACTTACAAAAGAAAAAACATATGATTAGAAGAACAGGCAGCAGTATGCCGGAATATTCGTTTATTGACTGTGGATCTGGTGGATATTGATCTGTTCAGCGGGCTTAGCGATTCATCTACGAGACTTTCGTTACCATTCACGGGAACACCCTCACTGTTTTGCGGTTCTCCGTTGCGTTCATATCGGAGAGTAGATAAGATATGACAAACTTTTCGGAAACTATGTAAACAGATGACTCAAGTGGCTAGAGCGCGAATTTGCTGAGCGGAAGGTCTGTGGTTCGAGCCCGACCTCCGCCTCTCGACTTCCCCTGTTCGAGCTTGGGCAACCTGGCAGTATCAAATCAATCAAATCTCTCAGCTGTAACACCCTTTGGGTGCCTAGCTACCATGCCACCGAAGGAACCACGAGGGCTGGGATACTGCCGGGTTGCCCAAGCTCGAACAGGGGAAGTCGAGAGGCGGAGGTCGGGCTCGAACCACAGACCTTCCGCTCAGCAAATTCGCGCTCTAACCACTTGAGCCATCTCGCCCCCTCCTGGCGGTATCCCAGCCCTCGTGATTCCTTCGCGTGGCAGGGCAGCTAGGCACCGAAAGGGTGTTACAGCTGACTGGGTTATTATGCAAACAGAAGCAGGGTAGGAAAAAAATACGAGCACTGACGACATCTTCTCCGAGGATGGTGACAAAAAAACCAACCGCCAAGCTCGGCAAACACATCAATAGCCACGGAATCACAAATTTAGCAAACAGGGTCCAGCCTACCATACGCTGCAGCCAAGTCTCCACAGGACTATTCGGACGCAGCGCCACTAACCGAACCAGGAAAGCATCGGTGGGATTAAGTCAACACAATCCTAGAACGCAGCGTGTCTAGAAATTGCCTCAACATCCCCAAGGGAAGAAAGAAACTGAAGACCTGGCATGAAATCGGTATTCTAACGAATTAGTGATCAATGAACTGGCCGGTTTGCTCCAGATTCCGCGCCTCGTACCGTCCAGTTCTTTCGACTGTGAAGATGGGGTTCCAGGGGGGGATTGAGGAATGGACTACACGGAATTCGCGCATTTTCCAAATTAAGAGGACAAAAAGTCCGCTCAAGACAACATCCCAACCTCGTATCGGGAGACCGAAGCAGAATAGGGAATGTGACCAACAAACCTCTCGCCGGTGAAGCGAACATGTAGAGGAAAAAACCGCCCATAGATTGAAGACAACAAATACGGAACAGTGTAGATTGTATTGAAAATACAGGATTGTTTTGTGAGGGGCGAGATGAAACTCTGCGAACGAACTCGAAGTCCCTGGACAAACTCACACACAAACGAGGATAATGATTCATGGCCAACATTGCTAAACCGGCGTTTCGATTCGGGTCAACAACTCGGGACGAGGAAAGGAGAAAACTCGTTAGATCTAGGTCTCTAACGAGATCGGTTTTGCGTGCAAGATAATGTCTCACGGCTTCCCAACACTGGACTAGCTCGTTTTACGGGCAAACGATCAATAAGTTGGCATGGAATACAAGAAAGACCGAGACACCACGCCATCGGAGAGTCCGTTATACCGTTCCTCGCTAGTCACGGCCTATATTTGGCACTCTTAGAGAACAGAGAGATTTCGAGAACAACGCAACAAATCACGAACAACTGAGAGTATCGTTGTTAACTGACTGGAGCACCGATCGTTCTTACACACATTCACACACACACACACACACACACACACTAAGCCACAACCCGGCGGAAAACGACACAGATTTGTCGAAGAATCACTAACAAGCCGATTCGAGCAGGCAAAGATATTTCGAGGAGTCAGGCAGCTCATCGGCCTTTTCCCACACTCCCTCCCCATCCATCGTACAATGTGGTGCAATCAACCCATCTGCCACTCCCTCGGCCACTGTACCGTGTCTCAACCGTCGCCCAGAAAAATAAAAAAAAAAACCAAAGTAATCGTCTACTGATCACAAAAGATTGGGCAATATGCATCCCCTACTGAAACCTTGTTTTCCCTCTCTATCGATGCATGTTGTGTCTCCGAAACACGCACACAAGACCCCACCAATTCGGTCGTGCTCCTCAAACCGCCTGGGACGAGTCAGGCCAACATTTTCTTAAATTTCGCTGAAGTTAATTCATCCCAAGAAGCCGAGAAGAATCACACTTCGAAATGGGAAGGTAGTATGAAGGTGGAGAAACAGTAGCGGGGGTATTTTTCGTCCATGTACCTGGAACCTACGTTTCGAAATGCTTTTCACGGTATAACAATTTTTGTTGGCGATCACCATCATCGTCATCAAGCTGTTGAATCGTGAAAGGTTACGGCCTAGAATCCTCCAGCGTTCGCAGAAAGACCATCCGGTGCGTTCTGACTTTTCAAAGTGATCTCCGGGTTGAAAACAGCAGTTGTTATGATTAGAAGCAACTATCGAAATTCCCCGGGAGGGGGGAGGATCAGAAACGAATTACTCCTAGCGAGCCCAACAGCACCTCCCTCAAAAATGCACTAAAATGTGATTTTGAATGGTCCGCCATCAGTTTATGACAAAATATAAACAATGATGCGGATGAGAGAAGCAGAATGAGAAAGCAATATCACATGACGATGAGATGACCTCATTGGGTCGGTGTTCACGCACCAATACTTTGATTGGATTTAGCTGTGATCCAACCAGAAACCAGCATGGGTCATGAATGGTGATCAAAGAGGCAGGAATGACTGATGTAAATGCGGGTCGCTGGAACACACATCCTCTCATTTCAACCAGTACAAAAATATTCAGGAGTTCGCATTGGATTCACATTGATTTCCGGTTGCATTTGCCAACAAAGTTACCGGGATCACAACTCCTATCGAGACAGAACAAGTGAATGCAATTCCGTTGATTCTCGCTGATATCCAACGTGCGACACGAGGTATTCGAACAAGGAGGCTGGGATTACCAGCGCAACTGAGTTTAGAACTCAGAGCAGAGGTGGAGGACTTGATCGCCGTTCGGCTGTTCTCCTCACGAACACGACTAAGAGATCGGTTGCCATTTTCCAATCGTCAGAGACAAAATGCGCATACATTTTCTGCGCAAACGATCCGTATCGATAGTTCGAAAACCAGTGAGAAGTGCCGGTGCAGCCCCGGCAGAAGCGCCAATCTCACTGGTTCCCCAAGGTTCTCAGCTTTCTCAGGAAAAGGGAGTGTGCACACATCAGGCGAAAGCCAGAACCAAAACGAGCGACCAAATGTGGGATACCTACAAGGATCATGAAATTTTTATCAAGAAATATTCACTTGGAGTGTGGCTGCTAGATTGACAGGGTCCAGAACCAGCCAACTGCCCATGGGGTCGAAGATCCCTACAAGAGTTCCTTGAGATGCGAACGATCCCCAGTGGGAATGCAACCGCTGTCCTGTGTTCTTCGGCTTTTCAGCACACGGTTAGCAGGACAAAATCTCAACTGATAATGAACGAATTTCCTCAAACTACCATCATTACTAGTGCGTTAGAAAGGCTGTAGGATCTTTCTGGTGCCTAACTGACATGCCAACAGAGGGAAACATGAAGGCTGAGATACGACCAGGTTGTTCGGGCAGAGAGAGAGAGAGAGAGAGAGAGAGAGAGAAACATTCAGGATGAGAAGGTTAGGTTCCAACCATGGACCCTCCAGTCACTAAGTCCGTGCCCGACCCACTCCACACACATGTAGGGCTTTAGGTCATACGAAAGTCTCTCAAACGTCACGGTGACAGCACAGTCGAGAGTGCGCAAAAAGAAAATGTGGGTGAATACCGCTCAATAAGGCAATGGGGTTGATCACATTTGTTGCGAGAGGCTGGCCAGAATTGTCATTCGCAGGTGATTTTGCAGTGGATCACGGTTCGTTATTCTTCTCGGGACTGGCACTTTTAGTAAATCAAGTATGACTTCTTTCTAATATTCAAAATGCTTTGCTATGGTGACCGGTTTCAACAAAAAGAAATTCTTCTGGTGACCATTTCGACGAAAAATAATGTATTAAGGCGAAATTCGAGAAAATAATCCAGTGGCTGTGGCATCCGCTCCATACACAACTGCCGTGCCACTCGGAGAACTGCAGCACGAGGGCTGAGATGCTGCCATGTTGTCCAAGCTTGGACAGCGTCAGGTTCGAACCACAGACCTTTCGGTCAACCGTTTTGTGCTCTAATCACTGAGCTATCCCGAACGCAGCTGAGATCAAATGTGTTAATAAAGCCTTGTTCGACGATCCGGTAAATTTGCCTTGTCCACTCTCCAGTCCGTTTCATACAGTCTTTTCCATGCCTACCAGTGTTCTTTTCAATGAGTACCACTAAGAAAGTGTTCAAAGCAGAATAGTGAAGTTAGTTAAATCAAGAGAGAAGATCACAGCCTGCTGGATGGGGTGAAAAAGTAGTGTTGCGCGCGTACTGAATTCTGACAGAAACTGATGTGGACAAGAGAGCATACATTCATCGTGCACAGCGGCACTGTCGACTAACTCCCATTCATTGTTGTATGAAATGAATCCACCCCCAAAACATTGTTGTTCTTCGTGCTGAATGATTACGCTCAACGAAACTGGAATTCACGGTACCAGCGTTGGGACATGACTGAATTAAAGAGGAGGAGGACGGGAGCGAATTTCTGTCTCTGCTGGCTTATGTCCGGGATATTGATCGGTTTTCCTGGAGTCCGCGGTACACCTGTCGAGAATAATTTCTCTTTTGTGTACGATCTCCGTTTAGTGATTGCCAAGGCTTAAAGATACCGAAATCGGTTTTTTCTTCATACAGAAAATGTTGATGGTGCATGTAAGCGACAGACAAACAGTTGGTTCTGTAGCCCGTGGTTTCCCTCTTTGGTAAAAGCCCAGGTTCACGTCGTAAAGCCATCATGCGTCCTTTTTATCGAAACAGCTCAGTGGTTAGGGTGCCAACTCACTAACCGTGGTTCGAATCCAGCCTCGGCATTTCGACTACTCTTGTCTAGGCATGCACAACCTGACACTATCCCAGCCATCGTGCTTCCCTTTGGCACGGGCAGGCAGCTAAGTACCGATCATACTATCATACTCACCTAGGGTGAGAAAACAAATGAAGTAACTATGGAGTAAAAACTTTGTGTCGGCGAAGGAAATGTTCTTCCAAGAAGAGCGAGAACTTGGCCGGATCAGAAGGTGCGCGGTGCCCTGAGAGAGCGATGGGATTGTGGAAATTCTGGTGGTCAAACATCACAACACGTGACTCTCCAGTAAACAGCAAACAAACAACAACAATCGTTCAGCTGTAGCAGCCTTCCGGTGCCTAACTGCCATGCCACCCGAAGGTTGTACGAGAGCTGGGATACTGCCAGGTTGCCCAAGCCAAGACAGAGGAAGTCGAGATGCACAGGTCGGGTTTAAACCTTCCGGTCAGTAAATTCGCGCCCTAACCAATTGGGCCATCTCGCCCCGAGCAGCAGACCTACTGTGTGAAAGATAGTGTTGACTCTTTGGTGTTGTCACAGTAAATTAACGAAAAAATGCTACAAAGGCTTCCCCGAAAAGATTTTTCTAAACACCTGTCAATACACAAGATGTCCTGCAGCGCGAATTACAAATCCACACCATACAGATTAGGCGAAAAAGCCGAAACGGACGATAGATCACTCGGCACTGAGTGTCCATCATCTTGGTGTTTTAGCAGACGGTTTGAAAATAAAATAAAAAGAAACTAGTCCGACCGCCGTCGGATGAATCATCCGTTTGAAAATTTATTGCTTCGGAGTCGAGTCACGTAAGTATGTCCGAGAGGTTCGCGTATTGCTTTCGAATGATACACGGTGCACCGTTATATTGCGCGATTTGAAGAAAGATTCGAAAATGTGTGCACAAAGGGGAAATCGGAGACCGAACGACCCGTGTAGCCTATTGAACCAGCCGAACAACACAAATTTAACCGTCGGGAATTCATGACTCATAGATTGCATCTGCGTGTGAAGAACTTTGGGAACAAAGCGAACAAAACAATAAAACAAATAAATCCCAAACAGTAGGTCTTTGTCATCGCCACTGACAACAAGACCAGTCAGTGTGTGTCTCTGATGTCTGAGTGTGAAAAGAAGAAGAATCGAATGGGAAAGATGGTAGACCTGGTGCCAGGCCATCACAACAGAGTTGGATACGAATTGAAGCACTTATTCGATCAGTGTGGACAGAAAATAACGATAGGAACGCCAAAGACTCTCGATTTTAGAAGGGGGATGGGATAGCTTAGTGCTTAGAGCGCGAAATTACTAACCGGAAGGTCTGTGGTTCGAACCCGACCTCTGCCACTCGAATTCCCCTGTCTAGGCTTGGGCAACCTGGCAGTATGCCAGCCCTCGTACTCTCTCCTGGCGGCATGGCAGTTAGGCACCGACGGGTTGCTACAGCTGAACGCCTTTTTTCTTGTTACGAGTCTTGTCAGACAGGACCTCGTGACCTCA